CATGGCCATTCTGATCCGAACAGCGAAACAGCCCACCGAAAAATGCGAAAAAAAACGTCAGGTAAAAAGAGGGTGAGCAAATACTCTTTGCGGAAAGGGGAAAATTGACCGAATCGATCATAATGGGTGGTCCGAGCAGCCAGGAAGGGGTAAACTGGCAGAGAAAAGGACTGGAAATCAACGGCGGATCAGAGGGAGAGGTGCAAAAAGTGAACATAGTGGGTTCTTAGGAATTCAAGAGGGTGGACTACAAAAGACAATAAATTACGGACTACTGTAGATCAGAACTATGAGAAGTTATGCAATCAGCAGTGGGAATTGCGGATGTCCATTCCTGTTTTACGTGGATTTTCATGAGAATGATTCCGGAGGATTGCTTCCGCAACTCACTACAGTTTCTGGGCCGAATGAGAGAGAACGAGAGAGCGAGGGTGAGAGGCCGAGCGAGATAGAGAGAGAGTGTGTGTCAGACAGTTATAGACTTACCAGAACAGTTTCTTCGGGTTCCGAAGGCTGAGCGATGACTCTGTGGCTATCAGTGCGGAACCCTAGCCTTTCAAACCCATTCAAAATTATTTATTAAATTTTCTTAAAAATTTTAGCCATATGGGGGCGTATATCGATTCGATTCTTCAAAAAGGTTCAAGAAATCAATACGCTTTTTGCTAACAAAAAGACCAGAAAAGCCTGCGGGGGTGAGGCTGGACAAGACCGGGCAAGAGACGAGATGGAACGGGGCCGATAGATGAACGAGAAAAAGTTATCAATTGCACAAAAAGACAGGCAGAGAGCCGCGAGAAGCCACCGACAATTCATCACCTCGACCCCGGGTAGTCTGAGACGTCTCATTTCCGAGCAATAACTTTCGACGCCTCGGCCAAACTCGGGTAATAAATCGCAAATGGGGGAAGGTCGGGAAAGATGTGGCGGCCGACGGGTTGTTTATGTTTTTTTTAATTTTCAAAGGTAGTTGTTCTCATTTCCGCTCTCAGCTTGGAAAAACCGCAAAAAAATTTTTCCAAGAATTTTTACCTATAAAAATCCTGTATTAAACGGTCCTTGGCGGTAATATTAAAATCGATATTAATAGATGCACTCATAGCCTGGATGTCTAGACCCAAAATATGGAGTACAGAGGCCTGGGAGTACTGGCGAGGACGCGCGCGAACTTTTTTGAGGAAATCGGCACAAAAGAAGGACAAGGGCAAAGAAAAAACGGTGAAGAGAGGAAGAGGAATTGGCAAGGGGGTTGAGTGCCGGTTTTAAGGGGGTTGGTGTATGGAGGGTAGACGGTTCAAGGGGGCCAGCCGAGTCAACCCCCAGTCTGGCTAATCGGTAAAAGGCGCCAGGTTGACGAAACGGGCCACTTAAAAGATCGCAGAAAAGTTGTTTTACTCTACAATAAAGATTTATGTGAATTATAATACGCTCAGAAAAATCCCAAACGGAAATAGTCAGATGTCAACGGGCCAGCGGCCAACTAAAGGCGGATCAAAATTCATAGCAACCTGGGAGAGTCCGAATAGTCGTAATCCGGTCGATACATGCTTCCTACCTATTCATTTACCTTGTTAAAATAAAAATTTTTATAAAAACCTGCAATGTACGCGATGCCCCCGAATTTTGCAATCTGAGGCAACGATTACACGGGCGGTGAATCTTACAAAGGCCCCTTGCTGATGAAAAGCTATCGCGCGCCCCTGCGCCCTAACTACAGTACCTGAAACCCTCATCCTACTCTTCTTGTTAGCATTGACTTCGTATATTTCAGAATTCGAAGTAATTATTGCGCAACTAAAATCGATTCCTAGTTCTACGATGATGCCATATGAAAATATAAAAATAAGGTCGAGTAAGTTTATAAGGATCTGGCAAAGCCGCAAGCAACGCGGCTTTTTTTCTCTCCACATCTTTGGCTTCTTCTTTAGGTAACAAAAACGTTACCCGCTAATATCTATCGCGCCTCAACTTCCGGAAGCAACATCGAACAACGGACGAAGCTCCATTCCATCCTGCTTCGTGCGTGAGAATGTTGAAAGCGTGATTGGTGTTGTAGGAGCTCACGCCCAGAATTTGCGGCAATAAGCAAGCAAGGCTTTGGAAAGTGCGCCATTATAACCTTATTTCAAGCATACCAATTCTTTACTTTGATTTCTGCTTCTTTCTCCTCACTTTTGGTTTTTGGAAAGGAAAGCAATAGGCTGGCGTAATGGGGGCTCGGTGGCGTGGGGTACTGTAGTTAGGGCGCAGGGGCGCGCGATAGCTTTTCATCAGCAAGGGGCCTTTGTAAGATTCACCGCCCGTAACGATTACCCCCCGATCCTCCATAACCCTGCCCTTCTCCCGTCCCCTCATGACTCCTTGGCGCAATGGTAGCGCGTTCGACTCCAGATCGAAAGGTTGGGTGTTCGAGTCACTCAGGGGTCAACATTTTTTGTTTTTTGGAATTTAGATCCCGGATAGCTTGCTCATGCCGGAAAGGACATCCGGAACGCATGGTTTTTATTTTTTGAGCGTTTTCGGCCCTTTTTAATACACTTTTTTACTGTTTTAACGGCAGATTGGTTGCAATGCTTTTATTAAATTTTCTCCTGGCCATACGATATTTTAGGCAGCTAAACGTGCAACCGGGAACAAATAACAGGAGGAAAGACGAAGGCAGCAGGAAAGAAAAAGAAAAAAGCGGAAGAAACAATAAAAAATAGTTTTGGCGAGAAAAACATTTCCAGATCTGAAATTTTGGATGAAAAATGCCAATAAACGGATTTGAGCTAACACGCCGAGATTTCAATATAGCTAAGCGCACGCGGCTGGTCATAAAGACCACATGGTAGGGCACGGGGGGTGGAGGTGGACATAATGGACGGTATTTCACATGGCAAGCGGGGCACACAGAGAGACACAGGGGCACATTATAGGCTAGGTCCGCGGACGCCGGGACGGCCGGGTGACGGACACGGATGCAATGGACAGAATGGACTCTTCTCACGTGGGTATACCAGAAATACACACAAAAGGGGACGTGCAACCGACAAAGAACTGCCAACTGCCAACTGAAAAAGACACGGGATTGGTGAATTTGCATGGGAGGGAGGGGAGGGAAGGAGTGGTCAGTGGCAGCAAAAGGCATTTGGTTCTAAAGCTACGGAAAAATCGAGATACCAAAAAAACCAAGAAGGTGAGGTTTTTGGCCTATTTTAAAGTGACCTACAAGCCAAAAATTTCGTCCTCCTATTTTTTTTTGGAATTGAGAGTCTCTCAAAGACAGCAACCACGAAATCAAAAGTTTGGTTAGAATCCTACCTTTGCATCCAATGATACCTAAAAGATCGATCTTGTTGTGATATTGAGGTTTGTTATGATCAACTTCACATCCAGAAAAAAAAGAATCTTTTCGCTTGATTTTATAAATTTTTATCAGGTAAGATTCATGAGATGCTTCCGATGGTAAAAAAGTTTCCTAGGAATTTTCAATTGCTGCTTAAGGCAATCTTCGGACAAATTTTCGTATTATAAAAATCTTAATTCTTTCAAAGTTTTAAAGGCAATTATAAGCAATAATGCGGATACGAAATCAACCTAGCACTACAAATCCGTAAATTTTCACCACGTTTATGATCGGAAATCTTCCAAAAACCACCTGGACAAGCCAGGACACTGACGTAAAGGCAGAAAATAGAAACTGCAAAAACGCCAAACCCACGACCAAGGATTAAAGATTTCGAATCCCAAAATCGGAATTCTAGTCTGATTGAAAACCAGAATCCACTGGCTTCGAAAAACGCAATAAAAAGCGTCATGAATGGATACAGAGCACCGAGTGCCCTCTCCGTTGAATAGCGCATCCAAAAACACCATGTAAACTAATTTCACGCCGGCCAACATAGCCCAAAAGGGCCAAAAATGAGGGGCGCCGGCCAGACTCACGTGGCCCGCCAGTCTTTCGTCTATTTTTGAGGGCAGAAAACAACAATGACAAAAGAGAGGAGGGTTGTCTCGCGACGCCCGAGGGCACGAATTCCTAATGGCGTTTTGGGGGATGGCGGCAAGCCAGCGGGAGTCTCTGTTTTTCTCAGCCTTCGAAAATGGCTGGGGGAGCCCTAGTCTGGTCTAGGGAGCATCATCACATGCGCGTTTGTATATGGCTGGTGTGTACGCGCGTGTACTCTCTGACGCGACACAACAACCCATTGACCTTCGGCGGTTGGAAACCAGCAAGGACAGAATTTGGAGCCCCTCCGGAGATGGCTTATTATGGACGTAGGATCATACATGCAAAAGCGACAGGCGATTCTTGGAAAATTATGGTTCGAAAATCACTTCTCGAAAATCCCCCTGTGAGTCAGATCTTGAAAAGTCCCGGTTGGTAATTTTTAGTCCGTGCATTTTCGCGATTCTTAGATGGGCGATATATGTTTTTCGTAAAAGCGATTTTCGGATTTTCGGATTTTCGAAAAAGTGTATCTAAAAAAAGTGATTTTGACGCGAAATTTGTAGAAATCCGCGTATTTACGCGCTTTGCCACGATTTCATTCATTTTCCTTGTTGCGTTTAACCTCGCCGGTCAGGCGTCGGCATTATGGTTGCCGGCATTTCCGGCAAAAACTGCGGCGCACCGTCACGCCTGCAAAATTTCAGACTGAACCTAAAAAATGGAAGGTGAGCTCGATCTCCTCAGGAATCTAATGGACATGTTTCAAGTGAAAATAACAATCGGTGACCGCAAACCTTGTTCGCCAAGAGTCGATTCACCTCGAAAATTGATTCACCTAGATTTTTTCAAACTCTTTAATTTATTTTTAGTCAGTTTATTTAGCTCCGCAGGGGGGTTTTGCCGCGGTTCTACATTTTTAATGTATAGTTCCTCATCTTCAGAGAGTCTAATTGCTCATAGGAAACCGGCGAACAAAATTGACAGCAGTCACGACAAAACATCGACACCTCGTGGCGCTGGATGGCAGATGAAAAAGCTAGTCTGAAATTGCCTGGTTATTTTTGAAATGGTTGCCACCGAGGATCAGAAGATCTGGATCGTCATCTGGATTATCGTATGTCCGGTATGAGCTTGGATTTTTGTGAAAAGAATTTTTTTATTTTAGCCGACGGCTGTGGCCTTAATGACACGAGACGGTACCCAGGCAGCCATCAATTTACTTCTCTGTTTCCTGTTCTACATCCCAGGTGAGGCATTTTTTTGTAATGTTTTTCATTTTTGGTACTTCAGGCATCGTCCATGCGGTTTGGCTTTTCATGAAGAGTGATGAGTACCGCCCCGCCGTGCAGTAATTAAAAGGAGAAGACCTTTACGATAATTTGTATAAATGGCTTGACAATTTTACCATGTGTCCCAAAAACAAGTTCAAATTGAAAAAAAACAAACAAAAAAGCCGTCGGGTCCCTCTCGCCTTCCCGGTACTCTCTACACAACAAAATATCCTTGTTCCATTTTTGTGCGCTCTCGTGAGAGAACGCGTTCCAAAATTTGTTCGAAACACTCGTTGTTATGGAGGTCTCGGGGTTAATGCTAACCTCAAACTTGGGTAATTAAACCGAAGCTGTGGATGGGTTAGTGGAGATATCAACTAGAGAACGAGACGAAAGACAACTATTGACGGGCAACCACACAACGAACGATCATCCTCTTTCTCTAACCACTCTCTTCACAGGGGACGGGTATTGCACTACCTGAGCCGTCGGGTCCCTCTCTCCTCTCCGGTACTCACTAGCTATCCCCAGCAGAAAACCCCCCACTGCCTTCCTCCCTTCGCCTACGACCATACCACGTTGAAAGCACGGCATCCCGTCCGATCTGCCAAGTTAAGCAACGTTGGGCTCGGTTAGTACTTGGATCGGAGACGGCTTGGGAATCCCGAGTGTCGTAGGCTTTTTGCAGTTTTGGGAGTTGCCTAATGATATAGAGATGCTTTTTGATCGGTTTTTTTGACGTCTACGTTGCAGGATAAGGCTTTTCATCAAGAGTGATGAGTACCGCCCCGCCGTGCAGTAATTAAAAGGAGAAGACCCTTATGATACTCTATATAAATGGCTTGACAATTTTACCATGTGTGCCAAAATTAATTCAAATCAACCAAAAAAAAAACGAAGGGGAACGGACGCAACGGAATTATACCTGTGTCCGCTTGTTTGCCGAAGCCGGTATCATTAAAAATTTAAAGACCACCGTGACGACCACAAATGTCGAAACACTCGATAGTGCTTTCAACGAGTTGCTCTCAAAATATCTAACGTTCCAATCGTTAAAAAAGCTAAAAAAGTTGGATTATTTTGTTTCCAGAACACTGTGCACAATTTTGACTTCCAGCCCAAGCGGCAAATTGGAACCAATCATGCAAAAACATCGACATTTTGTCAAACCCCGATGGGAAGCCAGGGCTCTCATTAGTTCGGCAACTTCCATTTGCTTCTTTTTCTCTCCGAAAAAATGCCGTCCGCTGAGAACGACAAGCTCTGGGGTATCATCTGGCTTATCCTGTTTCCGGTTAGTTAGTCATGAATTTGCTTGCCAGCGTTTTTAAAATCCAACCACGCTTTTAGCCGGTCGCGGTTGCGCTGATTACGCGGAGCGGGGGGGCAAGCCTGCATCAACACCATATTATTATTACTTTTCATCGTTCCAGGTAAGTACGGTCATGATACTGGCAGCTTAGTTTCTTTGTCTCTCTCTCTCTCTCTCTCTCTCTCTCTCTCTCTCTCTCTCTCTCACTCTCTCTCTCTCTCTCTCTCTCTTTCTCCCTCCCTCTCCCTCACTCTCGCTTTAACTCTTTCTCACTCTCGCGCTAACTGCTCTAAACACCTTTTCTCATTTTACAGGCTACATCCATGGAATCTACGTGCTTTGCAAAAGTGACGAATATCGTCGGACGACCCAATGACTATATGGACGGAAAGAAGAGCAGAAACCATTCGATATTGTGTATTAAACGCTAAGAATTTGATTTAAGTATTGTAAGGTGTAGTCAATGTCATGATTTTAAAAATTTATACAAGACCTTGTGTGGCAATCGTGGCTTAAAAATAGCTTTTTATTGAGGCTGATCCCGCTTTCCTCGCAGCACGATGGCGTGGATAAGACCTAAAAGAAGTTTAGTGTTTTTGGGAAGCAAAATTTTATTTGAAAGGTTCTATAAATCTATACTAAAAAAATCGATAAAACTGGAAAATAAAGACTGATACAATCATTGAAAAACTTACCGGGAATCCAGAACAACGAGGTCAACAGGATATTCAAGCAAGTTTGTCCTCCATTTTGCGTGATCATGGCGACGGCGATTGGCTGAAAATATGTATAATTAGTAGAAAAAAGGTTAAAAAATACAGTTTTGATTATCTGGATTATTAAATTGATTTAATCTATTTCCGTTGAGCTCTTTTGTGAAAAAACCAATTTTTCATATCAAAATGAAAGTAAAGAGTTGAATTCCTAAACAATTGACGAATTTTCTTAATTTCTGCTCTCAATTCATGCAATTTTCAATTAAACACATAAATTTGTACTACCTAAAAAAAGATTTCAAAGAATTCAAATAATTTTGAAAAAATGTTTAACCTTAAAAGACAAATTTGATTTTGTTTTGCGTTTCTAGACTTCTTGTATTATAAACATTTGAATGTTCTAAGGGATAGCTTACCGGAGACATGATAATAAAAAAGATCTCCCAGCAATCGTTGTTAGTGCCGGCCATTTTAAGTAAAAATCGTTGGTTACGGTAGGAAAGGTAGATACTGCCGATCCACCTAGTGAAAGGCCGATCCGCGTGCCTTTTTGACCGTTTCCTAAAACCCGCCCATTTCCAGTGGCGCTTCCCCCTTCATCGGTTTTTGCGATCTCTTGTCGACCTTGGTCAAGGGCATAGGGTTTTGGCGGTATCCTTCCGTTTTCCTGGGGCCTTGAAAACGGCTGAATCATGGTTGCTGCCTGGCTACCTGCTGGTGCGCAAACTGAGAAAATGCGCTGGATTGGCTTTGGTCGAGATGTAAGAAGGAGCGACAAGGATTTTTTTGTAGTTTTGAAATAGCGCAACGAAGCAAGCCGATAGTACGGTATCGGAAATTGCTCTAAAAATTCTAAAGCCTGGATTTATTCGAAATTTCCTTAAAAATCCTTGCAAGTTGTCGATGCACTCTAGGCATTTTCATGGCGTAACGGATTACGAAAAAGACCAAAATTGTTTTGAATCGGTATTTTAATTTTAAGCTAGAAATATAAGAAGTACAAAGAGGCAAACTCGAGATTTTGCACAGTTTATCGGAAAACTCCCTAAAAATTCGATAAAATCGCGATTTGTTCGAAAATTCCTTAAAAACGCCGGTCGCTTACAGGATTTTTGTCAAATAATCCAGTGAATTTCCGTGAAATTGATTCCTGCCGTTAGGCGTCAAAAATGCTTAAAACACCTAATTAACTCAAAATCCTAAAAATTACACAAAAAGTTGCGAATTTCTACTGTAAGATCTCAAAACTTCGAGATAGGGATTTTTCAACAGTGCTGTTGTTGTTGTTATTCAAATCATAAATTATGACAGCAACAAATTGTTGCTGTCATAATTTTATGATTTGAATAAACCTTTTACGCGATTGAAAACTCTTAAATTTAGCCGTACGCCCAAATTTTCCGATAGGAGAGAGCAAGTTTCATGTCTCGAGAAGAGCACCTCCCCCCCCCGAACCCGCATTTTCCGGGTGCAACACACAACTCGAGTGCAAATACCCGGCGAATTCCTACGTTTCTTGTGTGCTGCTATAGAGTAGTATCCTGTATCTTTTATCCGAAATCCCATCAATTCCCAAGGTCGATCGGGTAGCCCAGCTCGATGCCGACGAGCGGGTTGGGTTCTGAGATGTTGAAGCTGCCCTGGACCCCGGGAGTGCGGCCAGGGCAAGTGCATTTGGCGGTTTTGCCTGGAAAGGAATGGAATGAAAGCGAGAGAGAGGGAGGGAGAGAGAGAGAGAGAGACTTTTCGTACCTGTCCATCCCATATTCCCAGCCGGTCCTTGGGGTCCAAGTGGTCCAGCTCGACCTATCTGACCAGGGGCGCCAGTTTTTCCAGCTCCTCCTCGAAGTCCTGGCTCGCCAGGAAAACCTGGTACGCCTTCAGAACCAATATCACCCGCAGCTCCTACAAATATAGAATTTTTGGCGCTAAATTTGATGCCAAGCTGCTTTAAAACATTATTGATGTTTATTTATACAAGATCTGGTATTTTTGCAATTTATGATCTGGCAGGCCCATTTAAAAACTGCAGATTCCAATTTTACCTCGAATTCCCGGCTCCCCCTTCGCGCATATCCAGCGAATCTCGTACCTGCCTGGAGCTCCCCGGTTACCGGCTAGACCGACTGGGCCTGGAAATTCATTTCTTTTTTTTTGGTGTCTCTAACTCTAGTTTCCCCGAACGGTGGTATCAACACGTAGCTACAAAAAAACGACCATACCCGGACGGCCGGGTTCGCCCTTTTCACCGGGCGGTCCGGGGAGTCGTCTTGTGATGCCGGGCAGCCCCGGTTCGCCCGGCGGACCGATCTGGAAAGTCCGAATTACCGATTAGCAAAAAAGATCGACAACTGGGTTGATGACCAGCTAACCTCAACCAAGATACCGACAACAAAATTACCAACGAACCAAAATACCGACAAATTGTTACCAAAATGCTAACAACTCTTAACGGTGACCAAACAAAATGCCGACACACAAAAGGCCAGGGTGCAGACATCAGAAATCGAAAGGTGTTTTGCAAGTGTCGGGATTTTTGCCCCTCGGAAATTAGAACGTAGTCCTTTCGAATGACAATTATGGCCAAAGTCGTAAACTTCCGACTGCTTGGGACTTTCAACGCTTCAAATTTACCGGAAACGATTGAATAACTATTCAGACGTTGCTGACACGATCCTTTTAAAATCCACCAAATAGGGTATAGATGTACCTGTCCAGTCCGACCTCTCGGTCCCGGCGGGCCTGGTTGCGCCGGACACTGGATGCATTCCTGGATCACGATCTTGGGTGGTGCCTCCCAATTGGCTCCTGGTATTCCCGGAATCCCAGGAACTCCTTTCTCTAAAAATCAAAATTCTTCCAAATCAAAAATTCGCTTAATACCTCCATTCGGCGCATCAGTACCCGGTAGTCCAGGTGGACCTCCTGGGCATTTTCTATCCGACTTTCCTATTTTCATTTTTTCTGCCAGTTTCTCTAGATTAAAAGCTGGGGAAATTGGTTCCTCTGTAGCTTCAGAATTCTGTGCGTTCTGATGGACCTTTTGGAAGCGATGTCGATTTCGAATTCGAGCTAAAACAATAACAATTTTGTGGTTTACAGTCCTAAGAAAATTTCACCTGGTATCCTGGCTTTATAGGTATACAATTTTTCCTCTGGATCCCTTTTTGCTCGCTTGAATTCATATTCCAACGAGATCAGCTTATTCCAGGAATCCTCAGTGTCGAGCTAAAACGAATTTTCCAATTTCAAAAAATTGGCGATTTTACCTGAAATTCCCGTAGCCCTTCGGTAATCTCGTCTTTCAAGTCATACAGGTCGTTACTGATTGACCAGAAGAAGAATAGGTAAGTTAACAAGGCTAGTAGACTGATGAAAATCGAAAATCGTAATAGGTTCCGGGGGAAAAGCATCGACACCTTGGGGGAAGAATGAGGATGGAAATCGAGTCGGCCCGGCTGGGATTTGCATAGTCGGGATTCGTGGCGATCGGATCTTGATCTGGATTAGAAATTTGGAGCAACTGCCAGCTTCTGGGCGGAAATTGTGCACCAGAAAAAGGCTCAAAATTGTATTTTTAGCTTTAGTAACCAAAGTAATCCAAAAAAATTATTTCGCGTCTCCAAAGCTTCACGTTCTGGCCATTTAATAGGCTTCATCTAAATAGCTACCGCTAAAAATAACGCTACTTCTAGATACGCAGCTCACTTGCACCATAAGTTCCCTGGAAATACCTTGGAAATCCTACCTTAACGCGATCATAACCAAATGGTAGCAAAATAGCTTGTCCCATCGAGTTTTGTGCGCTCTCGAGAGAGAACGCGTTCCAAAATTTGTTCGAAACACTCGTTGTTATAGAGGTCTCGGGGTTAATGCTAACCTCAAACTTGGGTAATTAAACCGAAGCTGTGGATGGGTGAGTGGAGATATCAACTAGAGGACGAGTCGAAAGACAACTATTGACGGGCAACCACACACCGAACGATCACCCTCTTTCTCAGACCACTCTCTTCACAGGGGACGGGGTATTGCACTTCCCAGAGCCGTCGGGTCCCTCTCGCTTTCCGGGTTCTCTGGCCGTCCCCCTGCAGAAAACCCCCCACTCGCCTCCTCCCTTCGCGACCATACCACGTTGAAAGCACGGCATCCCGTCCGATCTGCCAAGTTAAGCAACGTTGGGCTCGGTTAGTACTTGGATCGGAGACGGCTTGGGAATCCCGAGTGTCGTAGGCTTTTTGCCGTCTTGGGAGCTGCCGGAAGACTACGAATTTCTGTTGGATCAGGCTTTTGCGAGGCATTTAGGAAAAGGCTTATTTGGGAAGTTTCTTGGTTTTAACCGGGTTTTGTTTATTTTCCGCTTTGTCGCAATCCAAGCGCGGACTCTCGCGATTAGTTCCTCCACAAGAAGACACTATTGAAACGAAACATTATCTATCGTGAAGACGTAAGTATTTGATCCTAGCTGGCCTAAAACATGAAGGATCTGCTTCTCCTATTTCCACGCAGCCACTGCAAATTAGAATTAGGCTGGTAGTGAAGCCGCATAGATGATGAAGATCCGCCACTCAAACCTAAAACAAATCGACCGCGCCGTATCCGTACGATGCCGGTAATGCAATAACAAGCACGTGCCGAAGTTTTAGAATACCGCCAGGTTATCCCTTCCAAAAGATTTGTGCGTCCTCGTGAGAGAACGCGTTCCAAAATTTGTTCGAAACACTCGTTGTTATGGAGGTCTCGGGGTTAATGCTAACCTCAAACTTGGGTAATTAAACCGAAGCTGTGGATGGGTGAGTGGAGATATCAACTAGAGAACGAGACGAAAGACAGCGTTTGACGGGCAACCACACAACGAACGATCACCCTCTTTCTCTGCCCACTCTCCAGTGGGACAGGGTATGGCACTACCCGAGCTGCCCGATACTTCTCCTCTCCCTGTATTCTCTCACCCTCCCCCTGCAGAAAACCCCCCACTCGCCTCCTCCTTTCGCCTACGACCATACCACGTTGAAAGCACGGCATCCCGTCCGATCTGCCAAGTTAAGCAACGTTGGGCTCGGTTAGGACTTGGATCGGAGACGGCTTGGGAATCCCGAGTGTCGTAGGCTTTTTGCCCTTTTGGAAAAGCCAGATAGCCTCGGAGATCGTTTTGCTGTCTGTACAAGCATTTAAATGTTTTGTGAAAGCATCAGGCCCAAAAACGGTCTCATTTTTATTTCGACTCCTCAATTAAATAATACGTTGTTTGTTTCCCTTTTCCTTTAATATCGATAACGCCTCTTTCTTTCACGATAATTTTCGGGAATAGGTCTTGGATGAGTCGAGCTGTGCTTTCATTCAGCTGCAAGATTGTTGAATTTACTTGCTAAAGTAGCGCTACCTGAATTTTATCAGGCTCGCAAGTGGCCGCCATCCGAAAAGTCATGTTTACGGTATCGCCAAAAACGCAAAATCTAAAAAAAGCTTATTTTCTGGGATGCGGCAAGGACGAGATACCTCGGTGCTGAGATTCCCAGTATTCCACTTGCAAGTGGCCCCGTGTGGATCCCCATCTTTAGTCGAAGTTTTTTCTCTGGGTGATGCGGGATACGGTAATCGTTGAGGGCGTACTAAATTGGAATTTTTGACGATGAAATTCAGCTGGTTTTACTTGGTGAAATTTCAACGCCAGCTTGCAGACCTCAGCCAAATGTCGTTGGTGGTCCAATTTCGGAATGCCAGAGACAAGCAGATAAGCATCCCCCACATTTTCTACCTAAAACATACCAAAAAAATTACAGTTACCAACTAAATAGATAATTAGACCAAAAATTAAAGTGCTAATAATAATTAGCCCATTGGTAGAGACTCGCATCATACCTTAAAAGCCCGATACTGCTCAACAATATAATCAAATCTCCCATATAGCTTGTTCAGCATTTCAATGATTTGCAAAGGGGTCGAATCTTCGCATAACACCGTGAAATCTCCGACATCTACTGCAAGAAGGGAAGCCTGGAATGTATCAACTATAATAATTTTCTTGAGGCGTCAGTGTGTGTGTGTCTGAAGCCGAATTCAACTCGAAGGAGAAAGGAGCTAGAGCTAGGTCTCTTCGGATTCGGATAGAGCGTGGTCAGAAACCCCCAAACTGATGAAAAAAATACGAAAAAGTTGTCGTTTAAATTATTAAATTTAACTTTGAAAGTTTTTTCCTTGGTAAAAGGGGTGGGGGACGGAGGTCGGGGTGATTTTGGACATAGTGAGCCAGGTCGCGCGCGTTTCGACGAGGGTGAGCGAGCGCAGGGGTAGTCCGAAGCCCAGCCGCGTGTGTAAGCGGCTGGTAAGTTATAGCTCAAATAAGGTATCCAAAGTCACCGATTGATGAAGCTCCGGAGGAACCGGCTTTCCCTCGCGAAGGTTGTCTGCTACCGTTCTGAAATATTTGTTTTTACGGTATAACGATAATGTTGCTATTACTGTTTGGATTTCGAAATCCACATGCCTTGGCAACAGTTGATACAACAAGTTCTCCGTCTTGCTCTGCAACGTTTGAATCTCTTCTGTGCGCTGCTCGACGATATTTTCCAAATGGTTCGAGTACTCATCCACCATCGCAATCATCGAGTCTATTAGTGTTCCTTTGCCTCTAAAATCCAAGAAATTTTCAAAGTTACTCATAATCGCATTTGAAAATCGAAAATAAAAACTTCTAAAACTGCTTACTCCGCTCCAAATTCTCTTAAGACGGCATCCTGGATTTTTGTTAAGGTCGGACGCTGACAGGCCCTAACTATCCAACACTGCTGAATGATCGATATCAACCTATGTTTATGCTGGTTTTAAAGTGGACCAACTACCGTAAGGTATGCTCCGTATCTTCCGGCACCGCCGGGCGAAATGGTATCGCCAGGGCTGGATCGATGATTTTTTGGATTAGTTCTGAAAAACAAAAAGTTTCGACTCGCCAAGACTCCCTGCGCTAGCTTGCCCTTTTAAGCCTTCGCGCTTTTCCTTACCTTCAATTGGCTGTCGATGCTCGTTAAAGGGAACTTTGCGGAATAAAATTTGATAAATAATCATTCCCAACTGGTATATATCGGTTTGGTGATTCCCTACTGGTAATTCGGCAGTAGTCACTAATTCCCTCAAAAATTCCGGGGAATGCTGGAGGAACCCTAAAGATATAATTAAAAAGGTTTCTAAATCTTTCTTACGTCTTGGCAGCTCTGCAGCGATTAATGGCGGTTCGAAAATATACTTTTCTTTGACCTAAAAAATTATCGAATTTGCAGAGAGAAAAAGGAAGAGAGCGAGAGAGAGAGAGAGAGAGAGAGAGAGAGAGAGAGAGAGAGAAAGCCGGCAACTCAAGCTTGCGCCTACTTTTTCATTTATAAACCGTCGAATCCCAAAATCCGTCAATTTCACGACCCAATAACTATCAACGACACAATTCGACAAGAATAACGCACCATGGCAGCGAATGGAAGAGTTGTGTATAAAATGTAATCCCTAAGTCGGTTTCGAAACCTCGAAACGTGTCCGTCATACCCTCAGAATTTGTCGTAAAAATGAGGCCAAAAAGTTGCGGCCCATCTTGTGTTCTTTGATGAAGAAGAGGTCTTCCAGGCTGTGTCGGGGGCAGTAATTCCAGAGAACCAAGACTTCAGAAGGGCCATCAAATGAGATACCGACGAACTGGTTGATGTTGGCGTGGTTGAGGTTGTAGAGCTACAAAAAAAAGTGTTGGAGGTCCTTTCCTAGGTGAATTTCTCGGGAATTCGGCACTTCAATAATGTGTTTTTCTATAATTTTCTTGCATATTTGTCAGCGAAGAAAGTTTTTAACCGATTAAAGCATCCACTATTAAAGCATTAGTTTCACCCTGTAAACGCTTCCAATATTCTGTTATCTAGACACTTTTCGATATAATTCATTAATGCGCCGATTACCTCCTTCAGATAGCCCATGTCAGCCCGCGAGATATCGATCAAATGCCGCTGGATATAGGATTTCACGGTGACCTGAAGGTTTCTTCATTTTTCATACTGTACCTTCTCAATTTTGCTATTGCGATATTTTATAATTTGTGCCTTAATGTGTTTTAAATACGCTTTAAATTGCATGAGATGTCAATAATCCGATTAATAGAGCATCTAATCTGTTACCTTTTTTCCAAACACGATCCCAGTTTGGCAGTGATCTCCAATTAACCCTCCACTGGTTGAATATGCTACAGAATTAGTTCGAAATGAGGACATTCTCAGCTTTTCACTAGTCGAGGAATTCATCTAAAGATTACCTTACTGTAAAGTGTTTTTACTCAAGTTGGAGTTTCGATTCGGGACCAAGTGCATCTTGTGCAGAATTTTTTGCTGATTCCGAATCCGTTTTCCAAATTTGCTGCGAACTTTTATTTTAAAAGTCATTTTGGGTGCAAATTAAGCTTGAAAAAGCCACAAACTCGGATCCTGGCCCACTATTCCCTCCTCCGTTCTGGATCTCCCAGGGGCCCTGAAGTACTCTCTCACAGCCCCCTCTCGGTTGGCACCATGGTGCATTGGCAAAGTATTCGCTTACCAAGCGCAGGGCGGCGGTTCGGATCCCCGCCCTGCATCTTTCTTTTGCTTTTTGCCTCAGAAAATTTAATTTTGTAAAAAAAAAGCTTGTTTTGACTGTCGCAGTGACTTTTTTGTTTGACGCAGTTTGACTGTTTTGACTGACATGCTTGTCTAGCCAACTTTGAAGTTGAAATCGATCAGGAAAACCGAAAACGATAACGGTTCCTTGATTTTGGTGAAAAACACTACCATATTTGCTGTATAACTTTCAAAATAAAAGTTCGCAGCAAATTTGGAAAGCGGATTCGGACTCAGCGAAAAATTCTGCGCAAGATGCACTTGGTCTCGAATCGAAACTCCAACTTGAGTAAAAACACTTTACAGTTAGATGAAATTCTATCTGTTACAGACCAATTCAGTACACCCGCCAAGTCTTATTGCCGCGTGTGGGACCCGCCACACCATTTTCTGAAGCTCATACTCCTTTCTGAAACTTTTTGATGCAAATTATAGAGAAAATCGGGCTTACTGGTTAAAGTACCACGCAAAAGTTAATGGAAATGCCAAGACTACGCCGATACAGGCGATAGCGACGTAGACCAGTCGATTGCTACATGATCCACCGTCAAAACCACAAACCGGGAGGCTCGGCGGGACTTGCGAGGTCCAGTACGAGTTTTCATCGCGGATTCCCTGAAAATTAATATTTCTTTGCGATAATTAATTAATTAATTAATTAACTATTAATTGGAAAATTAATTCGTAAAAGTTAATCATCCAAAGTTGAAACTACACCTAAAAGTAGGCATCTGGGCTTGAAACTTGTTCGACACCGCAAAAATACAGTTTCTGGTGCTCCACTTACCATGGCCATATTACCAACCGGATCCACCCCGAAAATCGTAGCCATTAGCGTTTGATTGGTACCGTCGTACCAGTGTATTTCGTAGTCCGGCAAAACGATCCCAGTCTCGGAGAGATAGTAATGACCAAGGCTGCCTGTATAAAGCTGATGGGAAGGGCAAAATCCCGACAGCCATAGTATCGACGGCCCAAATGCCGACAGATCAAAATGCCGACATGAAATAGCTGCTTAAAGGGCACGTTCAGGGACGTTTTTTTGAAAAAAGCAAAGATTTTTGCCGCGGCCGGGGGTCGAACCCGGGCCCCCCGCTCGGGAGGCGCGGATGGATACCAGTCAGCCACAGCTACAACCTCGCGAGGGGATGAGGGGCGCCCCACGCCGCAAAGGAGGGAAATTGCCTCTCACGGCACGGGCAGGCAGTGCGCGCGGTCCTTATGTCCATAGGGTGTACACGTTGGGACGAGTACACGACCCCTCCCTGCACGTGCGCTTTAAATGGAATCACTCACTAGACAGACAGTCAGACTATTGTCAACAAGTTTGGCTTTCGGGATTGTCGACTTGTCGGGATTTCGGACTTGGCGGGATTTTGGCTGTCGGGATTGCGTCTGGAATAGTATGGCCCAGTTACCGTGATATGACCGATTTTTCGGCTCATCCAGCCCAAGCCCAGCATGCAGCAAATCGCAGATCAGCAGCGTTTCTTGGAATGGGATGGATTTCTAAAACAGTGGGCTTGATTTATTCGCAAAAATATTACTTGGACCCCGTATTCAGCAGCCAACAGGTCGACAATTTTCATCATATTTAAAGGGGCCGTTAACTAAAGAAGCGTGCCAAATTCCGTCGATTTTACCAGTAAAGTATTCCTTAACAAAATCCTCAATTTCGCACGCTTCTCGTGCTGCAAAGCAAAGTTGGCTGCCAATCGATAGAAACGATTTGGCTCGACGTCATAAAAATCAATAAATATGATGGAGAATTCGGAAAGGGCGGTGAAAGTTTCAGCGGCTTTCAGCAAGAATTCGGTGTAGTCGACAAAAGTGCCGAAGAAGACGACGGCTGAAAGTGATGAAAGTTGTTAGATTGGCAACGATAGCTGCATTCACCCCGAGCTAAATGCTCCATCACATTCAGGCCACCGTCCGAATGATGGGGGAATATCGTGGCTATGGTAATATCATACTCAGCAATCAATGTGTTTGATATGGCATTCGCCATCGTGTGGAATGAATCAGAATGCACGAGCGCCATCTGAACCGTCAAATTTGTGCAATTTTGATACATTATCTTACCCTGGTCCAATTCAAGTGCTTGGCCATGGCTCCTAGAGCATGACCGATAGCGAAGCTCGAATTTCGGGTGACGATCGTCGTCGTGTTGCCCTTTTCTTTCAAATCGATTGGATAATTCGTGATGTAGGCGCGCTCCCATCTTTCGGCCAGACGGGAGATGGTGTGCGCTTCTGAAAAAATAAGGATTTTTGGGTTAGCCGAATCTATTCTTGCTTCCGGATCCAGATTTGGACATTACGGAACTTTTTTTTAGTTGAGAAACAACCTTTTATGATGCCGAAAAGGATTAAAAATCAGAAAAACGCTGATTAGGGCCAACTTTACTGGCCTTGATCACAACTTGCTCCAAGGTATAAATCGATCTCTTCAGTGTAGTGAATCGTGGCCGCATTTTCCAGGCCGCAAAAGTTTTGGCAAGCCGCCAGCGTGGCCAATCTAAAAATCTAGATAAACTTTTTTCTATTTTTTTATTTTTTAAATAACACTTGCTTTTCTAAGTAGGTCAATTACGTTAGGAACTCTGAAAGCTCAAAAATTGCTCATGAAGATGCTTACCTACACTAGGTCCTCTGGCCTATTGAAGGGTTTATTTCAGGTTTTTTCCGCTTTACAAGTCAATGCTTTGAATACGCACTTAAGATAGTTAACTACGGTTTGTTAGATCGATATAAAGCTTTTAGAACAGCAATATCGAAATGCAGAAACTCACTCATAATCCCCGGCGTTCAAACATCTTTCGTACACCCGCGTTTCCAAAGGGTCCGTTTGTAGGTGTGCCACTTTTAGCGCACTAGCCAATGCAGAAATCAATAGCAAAAATATATGAATTTTTAGCGTCAAACAGCCCATGATGCCATGTTATGTTAGTGCCTCCTGGGGCGCATCGACCGCAACAAATTCCCCGCGCAGATGTTAGGCCCCAAAAATTCACATATTCCCGCACGAAATGAGAATTTGTTCGTTAGTAGTGGTGGCACGTCGTCTGGGATTCCCCCAGGAAGTTTGATAGATTCAACAAGTTTTGAGGTTGCGGAAGTGATCTGTTGGAGCTTAATGTTTTTTTACTTCTAAAGGTATATAATCTTTTAGGACCGCTAATTATTCGAAAAAAATGCTGGTTTAACAATTGTACGAAGAGCATTAGTCGAGTTGCTGCTTAATTTGGTAGCTTGTAAAAGGTTTTGAAGCGCTTGACTGTAATTTGCAAGCTGCGCAACTGATTTCGGTGACTTGAAATCCATTTATCACCCGAACTGGCATAGAATTCAATAAAAATTCTCAAATCTTTGTAGAATTTGTCTATCTTGCCATAAGCTTATTTTCTGCACGTGAACCACCAGCTCAGAAACGCGATCACTGAAAAAGGTTTCAAAAATACCTAAAAAACTCACGAAGAAAAAATACGAGAAATGCAGGAAATAGCATCTAGAACCAGCCCAGCATTTATCGGGTATTGGCAACACGACGGCTTATCAACCTCAAGGTAGAAATACATGCAGCAGTAACTAAAATAACTTTGGTTTATAGGAGTAACTTTATTATTCTTACTAATGATCATCTGGATCGGTTGGTTGTGGACAAAAAGGTAGATAGCCTAAAAATGCCATGTTTAAAAGCTTTAAAAAATCAAAAGTAAAATGAGGTCCTAGATAACTTCCAGAACCCAGCCGCCAAAAAGCAAAACGTTATGGAGGTATGGGGAATTGAACCCCAGACCTCTCGCATGCTAAGCGAGCGCTCTACCACTGAGCTATACCCCCAAGCGAGGGATGGGATGCGGAGAGGGCGCTATGTCACTTCACCCACCATCCCCACCCGGACACCAAAAGATCTGGCGGCCGCCTAGAATCCCCGGAATATGCTCATCCATGGTCGTAAATTTTTGGAATTTTGGCGTAATTAGTATGGAATGAAATCTTGACAGAATTTAGCCAATTTCGATGAATGTGTTTGTTATTCGCGGCGAATTTTGATGATTCAGGCCACGTATTTTGCGGCGATATTATTGGCTAGACATCGAATCGAAGAGCAGAAACGTATAGCGATTTTTTATTTAATCATTTTTCAAAGAAAAGCCATTTTGAGAATTGCCATTTAGCGAATACAGCGAATTTTACTAGCATTCTTATCTCTTCATCGGGTATTCGATTACGACGGGAAATTCGGCAACGACGGGAAATTCCTCGCTTTCACATTTTTGACGGCGCATTAATGACATGGTCTTTCCATAGTTTTTAAACTACTAAATTTGCGATTAATTTTGCTGAATATTGATTGGAGAATTTTAAAAATTCATGATTTTTCGAGATTTTCGAACCATTTTAGCCATTTTTCGACAGGTAAAGTAAAAGTAAATAATTTCTCATGATGTTATTTAAGAGCATTAGTTTTTTCGGATTGAAAGCCACGTAAAACCCTTGTTTTGCTTTCTTCAAAATTTATAAAACAAAAAACTTTATTCTCTGTTTTCTCTTTGACACATATCTGGGTGGGTAATCAGGGAAGCTATCACAGGATACGGTAGCACTCTATTCTCCTAGCAAAATACATGTTTTTACATAGAAAAAATAAATCATAGCGGAAAAATGACACACATGCTGGGATAAAGCTGCTCAGGCTGAGGGTGAGGAAAAGGCGGTGCAAAAATTATTGCTATCAGAATCTGATGGAAGTCTGGAATGTTCTGGGAGACTAGAAAATGGGTAAAACCGGATCTGGGTTTCCGGATCGAACAAGCGATCGACCGGAGTGTAAATTCGATGTTTCATTAATGCTTCGCCACGATGTGGTATACGGTTCGGTTGTTGGTTTTCTGGGTGGGGCGGAAGTTGCGGTTCAGGCATTTGTTCTCTGTGTCCTTGAGCGTGCGCAGGAGGTTGAGCTGGAAAGGTATGTGGTTTGTAAAAATCCCATGTATAGTTTTTGCTAAATTTAGTTGAATTTTTAATGTGAAACCTTTAAAACAAAGCCTTGGTCCACACCTGTTCCTTGGTAATCTCCAACGGGTCGGTGAACAGCGTCCAGGTGACGATCTCACTGCATGGCGGTGTCGTCAAGGAGCCCTCGTAGCGGAAGAAGGAGCTCGTGTTCTTCGGCAATTTGCTTCCGATGTTGATGGCGTCCAGGTTGGTAGATGCGTCTGAAAGCGAGCTTCTTGGTGACCCCGGACGTGACTTGAGGTAGGATTAGCAAGGACAGAATTTGCCCCGAGCCACAAAATGCTTGGAAATCAACCTACTCGGCTCAACAATCTTCTTCAGCGCCTGTTCCACGTCAGCAAGGAGTTCACCGCCCTTGCCGACCTTCAGGAAAACACCGAGGACGGCCAATCGGGAGCTGTCCTCAACTCCTTGGTGGACAAGGTGAAGTTCGGCGGGGTAGCTTAGGCCGCCAAGGGTGTGTTCAGCGCCTGAAAAATGTTGCTGATCAGATGCATAATTCGATTTTACCAACCTTCACTCTCAGTTGATCCCCAATGGAAGTGGTACTGTACAAGACGGTACACCTGGTCCAAGCCGCCGCCAAATATTTCGGGGAGTTCACCGCCTGGGGTGGGCGTGATTTGGACTGAAACATAGTCATTATACTTTAACAATTTGTCCAAGGACTGAAAAAACCCGGAAGCACTTGTCAATTTATTTTTTAACTCCATTTGTCAGATATCTCACCGGAATGCCCATTGTTGGTGATGTTGCCCTTCAGCACTTTAGTGTAGTTGGTGAACTTGATACCGTCCACCGTATCCTTGCGTTCAACAAACGAGAGGTCGATGTCGATGGGGCTCTGCTGTTGGCCGTCGGCGCCGGGCCAGTGGGCGGGGCCTAAATTTGTATATTACGACTGATCCACGCTTTTAAAGGAACTAGGAAGTCAAAAGTCTATGGGCCTTAACTCGGTAGCTTCACTAAAATGAAGATTTTTTTAGACCAACCGCATTCCCCATCCTCGCAATAGTTCCAGTGACCGGTCATTATTGCCTCTTTCTGGCACTTCTTCTCCGGGGAGTAGATCGAGTAGATCTCCTGGAAATAAGCAATTTTTAATTGGAATTTTAACTCAATTTCATGTAAGGTCTAAAGTAATTAAAGCTGTTTCAGCGAACTTGGCAATTTCAGTAGCCTGACGGCTAGTTACAACGCGTAAACCCCTAGAGTCTTTTCCGGCTTTTATGTGGTGCCATAAAACTCAAAATTGCTGGGGGCCTGGTGGAAGGTCGAGCTAAAATGAGAGCAGGGGGGAGGAAATAGACCAGAGATCAGCAGTAGCCTTAAAGTCGACATTTCTTTATTTTCTTTATGAAATAAAACTAAAAATATAGTTCATACCGTAAACGAATGTAAAGTTTTCCAAAAAATGCTGAAAAATGCATAAACTAAAACTGCGGTTTTTGAGCTCCGATGCGTTTTGCAGCTTGACCATAAGAGGCTCAAGTTTACGAGCCAGCTTGATAAGAATTGTGACTCTAAAATCCAGGCGTCAGCCAAGAAAACTGCGTTTTCTGGAGTTCCGAACTTTGGGCTGATTTTTGGGACCTATATAGGACACCGGAACTTTAGAATTTCCACTTCATCGGATAAACATATTGCGTGACCGTTGAGAGGGGGCAATTGAGAGTAAAGGTCAAGCAAGAGGGGAACCTAGATTTATTTATGCAATATTACGTAAATTTGTGAGATCTGAATTGAACATAAGTCTTTTTGTAAAATTCAGAAAGTCGAAATCAGCTGTAAAAAATTCCATGCTTTTCACGAAAGCGAAAAGTGATGGCAGCGTGAAATTAAAAGCCTAGGAACAGCGCTATGTTTTGCTTTCTCCACCCTCTCTATCGTTGCTAGATCAGGAAAAGAAGGGCAAAGTTGCATGCCCGGAGTGATCTACGATTTAGGGTGGACTGGAAAGAATTATTTTCAGTGAGGTCAGAAATTTTATTTTTTTTCGACAAATCCAAAAGTCATACTTCCGTTTCTAGGCCTCCCGGGTTTCAACTTCTAAAAAAATCCAGAAGAGAGGCTAAATCCGGAAAATAGGTTTTGAAAGTTATTAAAAAAGGCAAATTATCTATTTTCGCACGTGGAGAAATTTAAATAATTCGTGAAAATCTATCAAAGTTTGTGATTTTTAATGACCTACATAAGTTGATCCCTAGATTTTACTTTCAGAATTTTTAGATTTCGACCCTATTTTAAATTGGATTAAACCCTTAAGAAATCGAGAATTCGAGATCTCAAAAATAAACAAAAAAATGTCTTGGAAGTAACCTTTAAAATATTATTCCCAGGGTCAGAAAGTTCAATGGTCAGTTTATCAATCAACACCCATTCCAACGACAAGCTCCTGAATGGACAAGCGCTGAAATCAGGGCAAAAAAGATTGTCGAAGACGGGGGTAGCTGCGGAAAGCATGTGGCTGGGCCCATTTCCCCAAGGGAATGGCCCGAGGCCTAGGTCTGGGCCCTAAGGTCTCCCCCCTATCTGCTCCTCCCCATCAATCTTCCACCACTTAATTTAAAGGGCCTCCCCAACAACAGGCAGGTCGAAAGCAGTGGATCTCTGGATTACGTAAAGCCCCCTCCCCCCGTCGGGGTCAGTCGCCGAATGATTAATTGGGACGCGGAATGGCAGAGTTGCAGGGTTTTTTTGTGGAAAAGCAGGCCAAAACCCAACCATTCCGTACCTCTCTCTTGCTCCTGCTTGACTCTCTCTCGCTCACTCTCTCTTGCTCTGTCTCTCCCTTTCTATTTCGTTCTCTCCCTATGTCTCTAGCCATCGCTCTTGCTCTTGGACTTCAATTATAATAGAAGCGCATGGTTATATTCATACCCTACGCCAAAACCGGGAAGCTCATTAGAAAAATTGGACTCCAGCGCATTCGAAAAGGCTAGAAAGCCCCAGTAAGGTCGCTGATACTTAGAAGACAGTTCTTCCCCTGGTTCTCCCTTTCTCACTCTCGCTTTGTGGCTCTCTCGATCACTCTCTCTCTCACCTCTCTCGCTCTCTCTCTCTCTCTCTCTCTCTCTCTCGCTCTCTCTCCCTGTGTCTGACCCTCACACGTCATCCTTATTTAAGGTGCAGAATAATATATTTAAATTTAAAGGCATCTGAAAAAGTTGAGAGAAAAATTGAAGAATTGAAATTTCGTCTTCAAATACGTTAAGGGGCGGCCAATCTTAATTGGGCTTAAATGGAAAATTAGCATTTAGAGGGAAATTGAACGCCCCGCTTTCAATGGGGCTCGAAAGCTTGTGCATTTTTTGTCTGACAGAACAAATTATCGTGGTTATTTAAGCGTTGCGTTTTCCAACTCACCTCATCAAAAATTGTCTCCCCATTGACCTTTCGAATCGAATATTGGGCGCCTTGCATTTTTAAGGCTATAGAATGATTTTTAGCGAATTTCAAGGAACTACCAAGGGAGCACAGCCTTTATATTGTCAGTCCAAAAATTGCGCAAATATTTGACGTGGTGTCGGTATCGTGGTCAGGTGCACACGTTTCTAACCTCCCCCGTCTTTGATTTTTTGCTGGTTTCTCGCGCAAAATTCGAGACAATCTTTAGAAATCTGGGTGATCGTGCATTTTAGGCATTTTTTAGCAAACAGATTGTCAGCAAAATTTTGAAGAGGTTTTGAGAAGATTTTTCGAGGTTGGGGGCGAGAAATCAAAGATCTAGCAGGTCGGAAATTTGTCAAAAAAAATTTTGGAAATGAAGAAAGTGATGTCAGGTTTTCCAGGAAAACCGGAAGCACTGGCAACCGAAAATTCGAAGAATCAAACTATTTTCGATTCATCGACTTGAGATTTGTTGATTTTGATGAATCATAAAGTTTGCAAAGCACAGACGGGCGATTCAGTTTTCCGGAAATGATCACTT